CACGAAAAACCATTTGACTTTATCCATGTCATGCATGTAAACCCGAAAATCAGTCAAAGATTGGCAAAAATGGAAGCAAGTCAACTCACCCCACTGGAAAAACGCCCCATTTTTTTTAACAAGGCAGTGTCTGCGTGTACCTGCATGAGGGGACGCATAACCAAATTTGCCTTCGTAGGCTATGCGTACTCGCCTCCGATTTCATATAATTTAATGTCATTGGATCAGGAATGTGAAATAAACACGGAAATAATCGCAATTAGTGAAAACAATTGATTACTCACAGAGATTTAAGATTTGAAATGTCAAAATTTCGACTTTGAAAAAAAAGTTCAATGCCAATTTTATTTTTACTACGTCCCTAATACGCTTCTTAGAAACGACCCTGGTTAGTTTTTGAATATTTTTCTTTAAATATAAATTATGATTATTGATATAATGGAATATACATGTATGATATTTTTTTTTAGATGATAGTCAAATTAAAAAGCATAGATGTATTTACACTTGTATGCAAATTTGTCCGCCATTACACGAAAAATCACACAGGTTCTCATAAACTTTGACATCACAATTCAAATCATTTGACGTCACACTTAAAAATTGATTGTTGCTTGACGTCAGAAGGTTATTCGGAGTCGATCTAAGGTCATTCGGGGACAAAATTCAGCTGAATACCAAAAGTGTAAATACGTTTATTACAAACAAGTGAGAAAAACAGACTTTGACAAATTAAGAACAGTTTAAGTTCTTAAAATAAATGATCATAAATATATAAATAAAAACGATTATCTATTCATACATATAACACATTTTTAATTAAAATAGATTTATTCATCATACATAACGCTTTTCATTTTAACCTATATATGAACACCTGATATATTTATCATATTTCAGGTGCAACAGAAAAGAGTTGTTGCAAGGGTTCTTAACGTGCAAAGAGCGTGGCACTCTCTTTACACGAGGCATCGGATTTAACGTCCCCATTCTGACCGGACGTGGCTGCAAATTTGTACATCCCGCACAGCCAAACGGACGCCCCACTTTAGCAAGCGTTTTACTGCCGGTCGGAGGAAGACCAATAGTGACCATACTTCTATTCCCCAGTCACCCTTGGGGGACCGGAGTTCTGAATGGATTATATAATTATCAAATGCATCTAGTTTTAGACATATGGAATTTTATCTTATTACTTTAAATTGTGTATACACTCAAACTTAATTTTTAGATATTTTGAAATTTTAGTTTCTGTTTCGAATTTTATTTAAGGAAAGACTGTAATATTTTTTCTGTCTATGAAGAAATAACATCAAAAATGTGGTGCACACTGAATAAATTAAAGTGTGCACCACATTTTTTATGTTACTTTGAATGGACAGAAAAAATATTACAGTCATTTCTTATAATTTAATTCTTAATAACATTTTAAACCGGTGTAAATCATGAAAAAACGTTGATGACGTCAAGGTCACATGACAAAATTATGTCTATGAGCTGAAAAACAAAACAACGTCAGCCAATCGGAAGACGCGTTACATCCAAAATTAAATTATTAGAAAATAACATTCACACTCAAGTTTTTTTAACATAATTATATTTATTCAAATTTGGTATAATTTTATTCTTTTAATGTGCATTTACATTTAATTTCTATTTTTTAACTATATACATTAAACATGTTAAATACAAATTAAAAAATATTATTTGCCATTCTCTTCACTGAACATGCTGAATTCACACAGGAACATATTGACTTTTCCCAGATTCACAAAATCAGGAAAGAACCGATAATTTTCGTGTATCTTTCACGTTTCATTCCCGATCATATGACAGTTTATAATAAAATCGGTTGTGGGTACGCGTAGCCTACGAATTTGAATTTTATGGGAGAGGGGGGTCTTGGATGGAATTTGAAAAAATGCGGGACAGAAGTTTTGAGTAAAAAATAAAAGCCAGGCCCGAAAAGAGTGAAAAATAAACTGGCAGGACAGATATTTCAACTAAAAAAAAATGCAGAATAACAAATCAAGTGGTAGCTCCCTTTATACCAACTTGCCCCACTTTAAAAAAAAAATCGCCTCATTTATGAAAAGGATTAAATTCTGTTAAATATACTCCTGCCAACAGTGGCAACTCGCCTTACTTGGGTAAAATCCAAATGAATATAATATAAATATATTATAAAGGTCTGCCAACTCGCCCTACTTTAAAAAAAGGAAAACTTACATGTATATGTATCTACCCAGAATAAAAAAAAAATTTGTTGAAATTTAATATGATATTTATTGAATTTAAATGATGTTTCACTTCTTAAAATATAATTGTAGATTCATTATTTACTATTATTTAATTTTATGTATTTATTGGAGATTAACTTTATTCTTGCAAGCTTAGTTATTTGCAAAACTGTATCATAATCTATCTGATTGTTTTTTTAGCCGACTCGAAATCATGCTATTAGGGCCCCCTGTTGTACTTAGGAATTGGACCCCTCGAGAAGATGAAAGGTCTACTTTACATGTAGGTAATGTAAATATAAAAATAAGAAAATGTGGTATGATTGCCAATGAGAAAAGAGAGGAATTTGTAAAAGTGAAAATTCACTTGTTTTCCAATCCTGATAAAACTGTCATATTGTCATGATTGTAATGTTTAAATAACCTAATTATTTTCATGTTAGAAGTGACAAATGTTTTTTTTTTACAGGTCATTTTTATAGAAAATTGCATTCAAAGCTCTCTTAATCGCTACATTGCTTGTTTTTTTTTTTGTCTAGCCACAACAGCTATGAAGCTGTGGCTTTGGCATGCTGTTTTCAACAGAGGCATAGTCGTAAAAAATTTGTTGATATTCGTGATGAGGTCAGTTTAAGGAAACCAAGAAATAACTCATGTTAATTATATATATAAAGTCAATAATATTTGGTGTGCAGTTGTAGTAGGATATGCACTTCTCATTTCCATGGAGATTATTTGGTCCCAATCCCTCAGTCATGGTTGATTGACTTTAATACTTTTACTCAAACTTAAATGTTGAAAATTTCTGATTAGGTCAGTTTGAGCGAACCAATAATGATAAGACATTGATATTTGGTATGTAGTTGTATGTCAGAGCCATAGTTATTGTTTTGCCAAGCCCCTCAGTTATACTAGTAGTCTAAAGATTTTGAAACTTTTGCAAGTCATGCTTCATTGACTTTGGATGTTTTACATAGCTAACATGTTTAAGCATTGTCATTTAAATATCAACAAATGAAATTAACTAACAAGATTACATACAGGCAAGACATAATTCTACAATGTATGTCTTAAGTTTATTCCTGAAATGTATACCAAAGGTTTTATCAGTAATGTCTTGGATAAATTATTTATACAGGAATTTTGTCACTTTGAAATGTATGAGTTAGAAAGTAAGCGCTATTTAATTTATGTTTACAGAAGTTATTCCTTGGAAATATATATTGTAAGGAAATTGCATTGAAAGCAATCCCAAACAGGTCTACATTTTTTGTAGGTTATTTATGAAAATGTTTAAAAAAACAACCACATTTTATACTACAGCAAAAACGTTTTTGGGTCGTGTATTGCTATTACCTCGTTCGAAGACATTTGGTTTCCGGACAATAACTCCAGTTTAAGTGTATGGATGTCTATATATGAAATTAAATTTAAAGGTTCAATACCACAAAAGAAAGGTTAGGATTATTTTTGGGGGTGATGGTCCAAGCTGTGTAGGACTTAGGGCCGAAAAAAGAGGCTGGGCCCAAATCAAGCATTTTTCTAGTTTCAGGACAATAACCTGTTTATAAGTATTTTAATTGCTATGAAATTGAACCACAAGTAGAAGGTTAAGTTTCATCTTGGGGGTATTTGCCCAAGCCGTTCAGGAATTAGGGACCAAAAAGGGTCTAAAACAAGCATTGTCAGACTGGCCTAAATTAGGAATTGATAAGTTGTTCTTGTTTAGAATACATAAAATATTTGCCACTGGACATTAAAATACAAAAAAAAATCAACCAATTAATGTTTTTGCATTATCAGAATGAATTTGCAAATATATAACAATTAAATTATGTACATGTATCCTTGGAGCTTTTTCAATGAACTAGCATATATACATATAAAAAGATGAGGTTATACACACAGGTATGATCCTCAATGTGACAACTTTCAATTAAAAGACCAAAGGACAAAGATGTAATCATTTACTGGCCAATGTACATCCTTAAACAATGATCAAAACCAATACCATAAAGTAACCTATAAGGATGAAAAAATCAAAACTACATAAAGTAATTGCAGACAGCAAACAACATAAGAACCAACTTTCAAAATTAGCCAAAAAGGACTGGACTCATCAATAAATACTTATAATAAAAAAGGTGCAAAAATTATGTTTTCTCAAACTAAAATATCTATCAGTTCACCTTCAACAGATTTAGTGTAACAATGTTTGTCATTTCATGAAGTCTTAAGAAAAGTATGACTGTGTAATGCTAAAATATTAAATATGTGTATATCAAAAGGGTATAAAACGAATTTCCCAATGCAAGTATGCAAGGATGTACAGACAGACAAGTGCAAAACTTAATACCCCCTCTGTTACGACAAGGGCATAAAAAGGAGATGCACAATGGGACTATGTTGAAAGTTTTAATAATTTATGAATTACATGTTTATGCAGAAAAAACACATACAAATATGTGTTCTAGTGTGCAGATATAACTAATTCCATGTCAAAATTCCATGTATGTTTGACAAAGTTATTGATATCCAAAAAACATTAAAAAAGGGGGATTTTCCAGTTTTTGGACAATAACTCAAAAAAGCTTTCACCAAATTGCAAGAAACTTTTCTTACAGTAAAATATATGTTTACGAAGGCCAAGCTTAAAATTCAATACAGATATCTGCTAATTGTTTGCAAAAGTCTTTAAATACTTAATACTTATTATAGTCTTGCATCCACATGCTATTAATAAAGTACTGACTACTGTTTTCTCCCTTTCAGCAGTACATTGTATTACAACAAATGGACAGAGGAGTTGACTATTGATAGTGACTGATAATGGACTGGAGTAACCTAGGGTTCAATGACTCCACGCCTGACAGTCCATGTGTACATGTATGTCGACAGCCAATTCTAAGTAACCTTTAACATATATTATATACAAAAGACCTAAAATAATAGTGTGTGCATCTATTGGAGACTGATATTTCACTGTTGTCACACAGTGTTGTGTGGCTTCATTACTGATTAGAGACTAATCAGATTATCCTTTACTTTAAGTTCAAATATAATGTACATGTACTCAATGATTATGACTTGCCTTCATTTAAGGTTGTTTCATGGTATACCGCCATCTTGGATTGTACAATCGCAGTACAAAATTGGTCTAGTTATTTGCTCAATTCTGCAAATTTGGAGACAGATTTACAATTTATTTGTTACACTGTTTATTAAAATAAAGAAAACTAGGTGATTTATTGTATTATACAAAATATTTAAACAAATTTCAAATTTTGTGTTTTTAAAATCATTTTTTTTTTTCAAATAAGCCATTTAAGGGGAGATAACTCTTTTAGTATAAAATATATACTAGACTGATAGGGAAATTTTTAATTTTTACTTGTAGCAAGGAAACAAGTTCGGTGACACCATTTTTTCTTTTTATTTTCTTAAAACATTTTATGAAACCTATCTTCTCACAATTTATTTTAAAATTCTATCTCATAGATTTCTTTTTATGCACACAAATGTGTTTTTTCATGAACAATCTAACCAAATTTAGGCAATTTCAACGACTCATAGCTTGGAAAATAGCACGGTGACCCATACTTTTTATTATATTTTTTAAAAAGGCATAGTAAAATCTTCATTTTGGCAAAGTATAAGAAAATTCTGTCTCAAAAAATATATACTTATGATCTACCTTAACTTGTAATAATTATGATGCAGGATCCAACAAAAAGTATATCTTTTTTTTACCTACATTTTATGTGTCAGTCTCACTGATTTATTAAGTACCTTGTAAATGTATATGGATATATATATATGAATTCAGATTGTGAGTCTTGCTCATATATACATCATTGTACATTGTCATAGGAGTTAAAACTACTATGATCGCTGACAATGACAGAGTGTTTTGAACATTACATCATAATGTTGATCAGATTACCTTATTAAATTAATAAAATTTTATTGTCACCGATTGAAAGTTTTAGTATTTTGAAAATAAGGTCTTATTGAAAGGATATGTGGTAGTATTGTCAATGAGAAAACTTCCCATTAGTCGAAATGAAGAGGATGTTAAAAATGTTAGGTCACTGTATGACCTTCAACAATGAACAAAACCATACTATATAGTCAGCTGTAAAAGTTCCTGACAAAATGAGCAACAATTCAATCCAGAAAACTAGTGATGTTCCAATTACCATGTGCAGTATTGGTTATAATATAAAAATATCACTTGTTTTCTCTCTTTACCAAGGGAGAAATGTATTGCCAATTTATTTTTATTTGGAAAGCAGTGCATCAGGTTCAGGTTTTATATGATAATCACAGGAATTTAAATTTTCAGAATTAGCTCCTCAGATGTAAGTGGAAGGGAAGCTATATACATAATATGTTTGAAAAGAAAGTAACAACAGGATTCAGATATAGAGGAAATCCTATAGCTACAGTATATGTAACTGGTATGTATTTGTTACAGTATTTAATTTCCAAATGGTATAACAAAAATACTGAATTCCAAGGCCATTTCAAATAATACGTCCTGTAAACGGGCATATTAAAGGGAAGTCAATGGTGGTAGCTGCTGGGTTTTAACAACAAAAAAGTGCCTTTTTAGCTCACCTGGCCAGAAGGGCCAGGTGAGCTTTTCTCATCACTTGGCGTCCGTCATCCGTCGTCGTCGTTAACTTTTTACATTTTGAACCACTGAATGGAATGAAACCAAACATGGCATGAATGTTCCTTATGAGTTGCTGACCAAGTGTTCTTACTTTGAAGCCGATCTATCATCCAAGATGGCCGCCAGCAGGGGACATAGTTTAACATAGGACCCTATGGGAAATACATTCAAATGTCTTCTTTTAGAGAACCCCTGAATAGAATGAAACCGAACATGGCATGAATGTTCCTTATGAGGTGCTGACCAAGTGTTGTTACTTTGAAGCTGATCCATCATCCGAGATGGCCACCAGTGGGGGACGTAGTTTAACATAGGACCCTATGGGAAATATATACAAATGTCTTCTTTTAGAGAACCACTGAATGGAATGAAACCAAACATGGCATGAATGTTCCTTATGAGGTGTTGACCAAGTGTTGTTACTTTGAAGCCGATCCATCATCCAAGATGGCCGCCAGCGGGGGACTTAGTTTAACATAGGACCCTATGGGAAATACATACAAATGTCTTCTTTTAGAAAACCACTGAATGGAATGAAACCAAACATGGCATAAATTTTCCTTATGAGGTACTAACCAAGTGTTGTTACTTGGAAGCCGATCCATTATCCAAGATGCTCACCAGCTGGGGACAGTGTTTAACAAAGGACCCTATGGACAATACATACAAATGTCTTCTTTTAGAGAATCACTGAATGGATTGAAACTAAACATGGCATGAATGTTCCTTATGAGGTGCTGACCAAGTGCTGTTACTTTGAAGCTGATCCATCATCAAAGATGGCTGCCAGCGGGGGACTTAGTTTAACATAGGACCCTATGGACAATACATACAAACGTCTTCTTTTAGAAAACCACTGAATGGAATGAAACCAAACATGGCATAAATTTTCCTTATGAGGTGCTGACCAAGTGTTGTTACTTTGAAGCCGATCCATCATCCAAGATGGCCGCCAGCGGGGGACTTAGTTTAACAAAGGACTCTATGGGAAATATTTACAAATGTCTTCTTTTAGAGAACCACTGAATGGAATGAAACCAAACATGGCATGAATGTTCCTTATGAGGTGCTGACCAAGTATTGTTACTTTGAAGCTGATCCATCATCCAAGATGGCCGCCAGCGGGGAACTTAGTTTAACATAGGACCCTATGGGAAATACATACGAATGTCTTCTTTTAGAGAACCACTGAATGGAATGAAACCAAACATGGCATGAATGTTCTTTATGAAATACTGACCAAGTGTTGTTACTTGGAAGCCGATCCATCATTCAAGATGCTCAGCAGCTGGGGACAGTGTTTAACAAAGGACACTATGGACAATACATACAAATGTCTTCTTTTAGAGAACCACTGAATGGATTGAAACCAAACATGGCATGAATGTTTCTTATGAGGTGCTGACTAAGTGTTGTTACTTTGAAGTTGATCCTTCATCCACGATGGCCGCCAGCGGGGGACTTCCTTTAACACAAGACCCTATTGGAAATACATACAAATGCTTCTTCTAGAGGTGCACTGAATGTAATGAAACCAAACATGACATAAATGTTTCTTATGAGGTGCTGATGAAGTGTTGCTACTTTGTTGCTGATTGACTTTTCAAGATGGCCACCAGGATTTTTTTTTTAAATTACAGGGCCAGTATTAAACCAAATTTCGCCTCACTCATTATTAGGGTATCTGTTATGATTTTAATCTATTTTAACATGATTTCCAAAACCAAAGTAGAATCAGGTGAGCGACACAGGCTCTTGAGAGCCTCTAGTTTAGTTATTGCCCTTATACTTTGAATAGACAAAATATGTGCAATGCTGGGGACATTGGAACTCTGTTCTTTTATTATAATTAGGACTCCTAAATATATGTATATATATATACAGACAACTGCAACATTACCAAAAAGTTTCAGAGCAATTTGATTTTCATCTGAAATGTTTACAAATTCCAGCTTTCATAGCAAATTTCAACCATAATGAACCTCCACAGCAGAGGTAATCAAAAAGTAGTGCAGATAAACAATTTGCAGAGCATTTGGAGTTTTGATTTATACCCCTATGGAAGATAAATCAAAAATTTTGTAAAAAGATGTTTACAGAATGCATAGAACTATAGACATACCATTTTTGGTATTGTAATTTTAATGAGGTTAAGACATGTAAGAAAGGGGCTTGAAAAATGAGGAATTGTGTTTCTATAGGCACTTAGTAATCTAGATCTATAGTACTAAAATAACGAGGTCCAATTTGTGAGCCGGCATGACATAAAAATGACGATATAAAGAATTCAACTTTATATATATAGGACAATGGTGTTGATTAAAAATTACACCATTCCAGGCCCATTTGTTTTCCACATAATTAGGGCCCCGCCGAATGGCGGACGCCCTATAGTGATCAGTCTGTCCGTCCGTCTGTCTGTCCGTCCGTCCGTCCGTCCTTAACAAATTGTGTCCGCTCTATATCTAGAGAACCGTTATGATTTCAAAGTTTATAATTGACATGTATATTAACCAACACCAGAGGGTGTGTCATAATGTATGTTCAACTTCTTAGGTCAAAGGTCAAGGTCAAAAACTTTGGTTTTAGTTGAAAACCCCATGTCCTATGGTAAAGATCGTGTCCATTCTATATCTAGAGAACCGTTATGATTTCAAAGTTTATACTTGACATGTGTATAAACCAACACCAGAGGGTGTGTCATAATGTATGTTCAACTTCCTAGGTCAAAGGTCAAGGTCAAAAACTTTCGTTTTAGTTGACAACCCCATGTCCTATGGTAAAGATTGTGTCCGCTCTATATCTTGAAAACCATTATGATTTCAAAGTTTATACTTGATATGTATATTAACCAACACCAGAGGGTGTGTCATAATGTATGTTCAACATCCTAGGTCAAAGGTCAAGATCAAAAACTTTGGTTTTAGTTGACAACCCCATGTCCTATGGTAAAGATCTTGTCCGCTCTATATCTTGAGAACCGTTATGATTTCAAAGTTTATACTTGATATGTATATAAACCAACACCAGAGGGTGTGTCATTATTTATGTACAACTTCTTAGGTCAAAGTTCAAGGTCAAAAACTTTGGTTTCAGTTGACAACCCCATGTCTAATGATAAAGATACACAATTTTTACCACACATTATTCACAGCGGGGCTCACAGAGATGGCTCCCATCTCAATTATATCTAGTTATTACTACCAATAATTAACAAGTTCTTGGTCAAAGGGTTCAAAAAGAAAGATTTTGAAAGCAGAGAAAACTGTGCACCTAATGATCAGCATGACATTATAAGATGACAAAACACAACTTAAAATCCAGGCTAAAAATAAGGCTTAGGTACTTTGCTTCAGTCACGACCCCATGATGTCGCGGGAGTATTCTAGTATATATTATATATACAGGTAATGTGTAGTACACAGTTAGTTTTTTTTTTTAATTTATTTTAATAAAAATGAGAAGATGTAGTATTATTGCCAATGAGACAACTATCAACTAGAGTCCAAATGACTGAATGTTAGCAACTATAGATCACTGTATGTACAGCTTTTAAAGGAGACGTGACACGATTTTTTTTTTTTTTTATTAAGTTAATGAATATTAGTCTTTAAACATGTTTTGTACAATTTTGCTAGTCAAAACCTGATCAATCGGCATTTTTCTGGTCAAAGAATCCAGCGCTTGTCATAATGAATGATTTTTAATTAGATAACGATCACGTGATCGTGCTTACGTCAGTGGTTACAAGCTGGGATAATGTCTCTAACTGGACGATGTCGATACACTATGGACGGTATAGACAGCACTTTTCCCGATTACTGACAAACTATAAAGACAATTGACCTCATCAATTTGAGCCATTGTGTGTGGAAAATAACCAAGAAAAGGATGTTAATTCTTCATGCGAAGAGTCCAACAACGACGATTTTAAGACAATACCGATCGGATTGTTACCATACATATTTGATTTGTCTGATGAATAAATTTAATAGACCGCTTTCTGCATTTTTTTTTTATTTAAATAAAACTACTTTTAATCATGATTTAAAATATAAATTTCTAATTATTGATGATCAAATTGTTCTTTTTTTCTCTCTGTTACGGTAATGTTATAATAATGTGTGCGCCGGAAGCAGGAAAAAAACGATAGTAAAAGTCAAATTAGGCATTCGTAAAGTGTCCGTTTTATTTTGTTTTTTGTTTTGGTTACGTAGAGACTTTTAACTCATTCGCCCCCAATCCCGCCTGTAGTCGTGATAAAAATATACCACTCACAGGCCGATAACGACTACAGTCGTGGTTTGTTTACCTAGTTCAATGGCCGATCCCGTCTGTACTCGTGGTCGACACCACTCTGAAAGAACCGCTCCGATTGGTTATTTCTTAGGGGATTTCCAGAATTTAAAGAATACTGTCCAATAGAAAAGGGTTTAACGTTTCATTGTGTGAAATTTATTTATTCGTAGTGCAAAGGTTACGCCGTATTTAGACATTCTTGTTACACGTGTGTACGCGCGGTTTTCAATAAAAATGTTAAAACAATGGCTGAAATTTTTGATAGTAGCGAGAGTGAAAGTGAGTTTGATGGCTTTGAATTACGGGATATAAATGCTGCAGAAGAAAGATATTTGCAGCATATTGATGCATTGAATAATATTGATTCTGATATCGAATTTTCAGACGTCGATTCTGATGAAAATGAAGGTTTTAATAGCGATGATGACAATGTTGCACTTGCCGAAATTGCAAGATGGGGTGATGAACTTCGGCCGGTTCAAATAAATGATTTTACAGGTCCACGGCCCGGTCCGACCACGCAAATGGACAAGGAAAAGACGGAGATAGATTTTTTTCATTTAATTTTCCCGGAGAGACTTTATTCGGAAATAGCAACACAAACCAATGCTTACGCAAACGGGAGGCAAAATGAAAATTGGACTCCAACTACTAGTGATGAAATCAAAGCATACTTAGGGGGTCAGATTGTTATGGGAATCATACCTGTCCCCAATATGGATATGTATTGGTACAAGGATAAACTTTTTCATGCTTCTAGTCTTGAGGAAAAATTTTCAAGAAACAGATATGAGGAGTTACAAAGATATCTCCATGTGGCAGACACCACACAAAATCCACCCCGACTTCAACCCGGACATGATAAACTGGCCCATGTTAGACCAATTCTCGAAATAATTCGTGATAAATCCCTTCAAGAATACAAACCACATATGGAAGTATCCATTGACGAAGCGATGATTGGTTTTAATGGCAGGTTGGGGTTCAAACAATATGTTCCCTTGAAGCCTACAAAAAGGGGGATCAAAGTTTGGGTTCGAGCAGATCCAACTAATGGTTACATAAATGACTTTCAAGTTTATACTGGAAAGACAGCCAATAACCCAGAACAAAACCTTGGCAAAAGAGTTGTTCTAGATCTTATGACCCCTGTGTTTGGGTTGGGTCATCATCTTTATTGTGATAGTTTCTTCACTTCACCAGATTTATTTATAAATTTATGGGAGCACGGTACTTATGCGTGTGGCACGGTTAGAGCAAACCGTAAAGGATTACCTGCTGGTTTAGACCGTATCAAACTCAAAGAACAAGGCCAGTTTGTTGTCAAGCAAAAAAATTATATGCAAGTCACAGTTTGGAGGGACAAGAAAAACATTAACTTATTATCAACAAACTGTTTTGGTGAACCCGACAAAGTCAATCGTAAGCAAAAAGATGGTACCATCAAAGAGGTACCTTGTCCTCTGTCAGTCAAACATTATAACATGTTCATGAATGGGGTAGACCATGCAGATCAGTTGAGGTCTACCTACAACATCTCCAGAAAGTGCTTGAAATGGTGGAAATACCTCTTCAACTTCCTTGTGGACATCAGTATTGTCAACGCATACCTTCTTATGAGGGAGTCTGTCAATCACCAAATAGTGACAAAAAAGAACAGGCCACGTCAAATGACTCAGCTAGAGTTTAGAATGAAACTAGCTCACCAAATGCTAGGACAATTTCATGGGAAAAGGAAACGGTCAGTCGATCCAAGACCAGTACTCCAACCAAGTAATCATTGGATCGAAAATATGCCAAAGAAGAAGACATGCAAAATGTGCTCACAAAATAAAATTAGAAAGGAACCCAAAACTGGGTGTGCTCAGTGTAAAGTAAATTTGTGCACAGAATGTTTTAGGCCATATCACAGGAAATTATTCCCACAGTTGTTCTTGTAAATAGAGGATATATTCATTGAGATTCATATATTTTTTGGAATATTTTTGGAATATTTTTACTTACCTGGATAAATATGTGATTTATTCTGTATATATTTTGATAAAATTTATATGTGTGGAAAGACAATTTTTTCTTCTTTATTCACTGAAATTTTTATGGATTAATGTTGGATAATTACTGAGCAATCAAGGTAAATATCATGCATGTGCATGTCTGATAGTAGAAAAGTTAATTAGATAAAAATGCTCTGGGGCACAGCCTGATAACTGATACTGGCTTATCACTGTTGCAGTGTAAATATACTGTTGGGGGTGAATGAGTTAATAAGTATAAATGGTCACCACAAGTTATGCTTATAATTTTTTTGGTTGGAAACCATACATCACACAAAAGATTTGTATAGTGAGAAATCTTTTATCACACTATTTCTGCATAAGAATATTCAATTAACACTTCACGCCCCCCCCCCCCCCCCCCCTTTATTTTTTAATTCAATTCAATATTTTATTTACGTCTCACCTTATGTATAAAATTACACAATACAAAACATTTATTGGAGGCTGTTGTTTTAGTGATTAAATGTTGACACCTATAGCATACTTGACCAGGTGAAAGGTAAGAAGTCTCGTATTTTAGACAGGAGCAGACGTTTTTTATATCGATAAATTTTAGACTGTAAAGATTTCGTAATTAGTTTTATAAACGATGAAATTTTACTTTTTGTCTCTCATAATTTTTTTTAAGATTGGCATTAGTATTTATTTATGTTTTTATGATATATGTAAATATTTTATTGTGTATATTAATGGTGAGACGTTAATAAACTATCTATCTATCTATCTATCTATCTATGTTATTTACCTTTTAAAATCATACATTTTTAAGAAAAACTATCTTATGTTGAAATAATTAATATAGTTATACTACACTTCTAAAGAATACAATTCCATACGGACCCTTATAAATCTAACTTCAAATTTAAGGAATTACACAAAGTAAATTCAAATTCACTTATTTTCACCCCTCTCTTCCAAAAATCATTTCGCAATCAATTTGTTTATTGCTACCAGCAAAACGCTTGAGTCCAGGAAAATATTCGAAACACATAATGTTCTATTTCAAAATATTTCTTCTAAAAGGGTCATTTGAATAAATGTTAGATTTTCAATCGGACTGAGCAGGAAAATGTTTGCATGTAACATACTTCAGTCTTCGAGAACATGAGTTGTGTATTAGCTGTACTTGGCTTTGATCTAGCTAACAGTATTTGTGCGTTGTCTCTATTGTTTTAACGTTAGTTGTTCCTCTACTTCGTACCGATCGTTTGAGTTAGACTGATTTTTATAATTCTTATATACTGCTGTAAGGCCACTGTCACACGTTGGGATGGGGGAGAGGGTAGGCGCTCACAAACATATACCACCGACACATTTTGAATGTGCTGTCTTAAATCAGAAGCATATAGATCAGTGGTTGTCGTTGGTTCGTGTCTGTCAAATTTTTTTCTGCGGAAATTATTTTGTTATGAATAAGTTAGTTTCCTCGTTAAAATTGTTTCACGTTTTCACATTGAGAACTTTTATAGCCGAATATACGGTATGGAGTTTTCTCATTATCGGTGGCCGCACGGTAAACGACACTTTCTTCATTTATTATGAAGTTTCCATTTAAAAAAAATGTTTTTCATCATCTGAATCTTTACCAACTAAATAGTTGTCAAGCATTATATTCGATGTTCAATATAATAAAATTGAGAATGGAAATGGGGAATGTGTCAAAGAGACAACAATCCGACCAAACAGTAGAAAAAGAATGTTAAAGACTTATGATTCACATTCTCGTATCATTCCCTTGTTTGCTTTTTATGCTTTTTGTCTAACAATTTCTTATGAAGTTATAGACTTGCAAGCATACAGGAATATTACTTTTCCATCTCGAGAAGTCAATTAAAAAAATGAGTCTGTTATAAACCTTTTATATCTGCATATTCTTAAATGCAATAAAAATAAGATCTAAATACAGGTTGTCTATTAGTTACCAACACTGGTTAGGGTATTTAATTGGTGGTGCATAAGGTATTGTATGGTCGTACTACAGGTATTCATTAAACATTTGATCAAGTAGTTGTACCTGTATTACTGTAACAATAATATATTCCAATCTCACCTGTGCCCTCGGCAAAACCAACATCCAGGATGTACACAAAGAGCTTATAAGTAATATTGCGTAATAACTATGTCTTATCAATCCCCCATGTGGCGTGACACCTGAAGTTTGCAACTTCAAACGAGACCTGAAATTGCGAAACTCAATCACCTGTACCGTACACCTGTACCTATGATGAACTCATGGCATGGCACCCGAGACCCCAACTCTGGATTCCTTATGAAAGTGGGCGGAAAGAAGTGTAGTTTGGGCTTGTTAAAAAGTCCCATTTTTACACCCTCTAAGTCTGCGTGTCATTCGAAAAACAGAAAATATCATGTCAATATTCTTTTTAATTATGTTGTTGAATCCATTGGCATCACACATAATCATTGTTTATCACTGTCATGCGTTTTGTTGGATAATAATCGAAACTAAATTTGTGCTGTACCCATATGTCAATATGAATGAATGTAACCAGTGACGTAGTAGCCTCGTTCTGAGTGACTTCAAGGGATGGAAATATGCATATTTGACAGGTCGATAAATCGTTGCATTAAAATATAAAAAATATCATTAAATTACATATTTTACCAAATAGTTGACACTTATATTGTTATCGATGTATTTTTGGGGAAAGTTAAGTATAAATAAACATTTTGAAACACAAATTGAAAATCGTGTCATATCTCCTTTAACAATGAGCAAAACGAATACTGCATCTAGCAAGCTATAAAAGGTCCTGAAACGACAGATGTAAAACAATTCCAATTTACGTAAAAGACATTAAACGAAAAATAAATATGATAAACAACAACTATTTTATTCCACTCCAGTTGTTCACACGATATATATATATATATGTAAGTTTGGTAAATCATTGGAGATTAAATTGATGTTATCATTTTTGCCTGATTGGTAAGCCAATATTTGATGTATGTTTTACAAAAAATATATGCTGTTTTTTTTTATACAGCAACTGTATTCCAAGAGTCTGATGGCTGATAATGTATTCAGGATTTTATCATTCAAGCAACATCTAAGAAGGATAAGTGCAAATGTATAAAGGAAGCCTTGGGTACAAATAGCAATTACAGCTGCAATTACATGCAGGAGAGAACTCTTAGACATTACTAACAGACATGTAGTCATGATATGGGAGTGGTGTATTCAAGAAATCTGAAACACATGGAATTAAATATTGTGTATATTTTTTCAACCAAAATTACTTTCAGAATATAATACAATTCAAATTCAAAATATTGTGTCAACATGACAATTATAGTCTTAAAATGGAAAATGCATGTTTTTAAACTGAATTTTATATAAATATTTGAAATAACAAGAATGTTTAGCTTATTGTGCAGCCAAACTTTGAGATGTCCTAATGGTATATGCCTGTTGTTTGTCAACATGTGTTTTCTTTTTGCCTTAACCTTAAGATTGGTGTTAAAATGAAAAACTGGAATACATATATGAAATAAGAAGGAAATGGTTGTAAATAACAGAAAGACTTTCAATATGGTATATCAAATATATTTCACAGAACTTTCTATTTCAGTTCATTAATACAATGAGATATAAGGTATAAATCAATCAGACAGCTACACAACAACAAAAACACATGAAAGGCATTAAGGTGCTAGCATACAGTCCTCAACAATAAACAGGTGTCTAAACCATGTCGTGATCTACTTAATTAACCAGAGTCTATACCAATCAAAGAGCTGCTATCAATACCAAATTCTTTAAATATTTTTTTTTTATTAGGATGAGACTTTAGACAACCACTGAAAAGGTTCCTGGCTTGAAACAGGCACATGAATATGTGGCAGGGTGAACTACTTTTTTTAATCAAAACTTTCAATAGAAAAATTGGCATCTTGGCAAGTAAGACAATTTCCATAATGTGATTGGATTGTCTCATGACTGATAACCACAAAAATGACTTATACATACATATTAAAAATGAAATACATCAGTGCAAACATATTCTATAAATGAATCACCAATCCTTACATCACTTTTAAAAAAAGTATTGAGACTTGAACATAATCGAAAAAAATTCTAGTAGTGAACTAAGGTGACCTGGATATTTGCTTTCCTTCTTTGTTTTATTGCATCTTATATCTTGCATTGGAGATATTGTGAGTTGCAATTGGGAGTTTATAGATAATTATTTTTTGTATTGTTTAGGACCAAGAAAGTAAAATATATTGGAAGTATGAACACATAGTCAAGACTAAGAAGAATATTTATATATATCAAAATAGAATGTGTACTAGATTATCTAAAATATGCTCAAATACTGTGAATTTGTGTGATTGATGCTCAATTCACCTTAATTTCATTTAAAAAAAATTAACATGAAAGCTTGATTCACGTTAGTTTCACATGAAAAATTTAACATGAATTTCACGTTAAAGCTCTATTCACATTAATTGAACGTGAGTTTCATGTATAAGCTTGTTTGATGTGAAACTCACATGAAATTTACCTGAACAAAATTTGCCTGTGTATATATAGAAAACACATGTATAATGCATGTGTTACAAACTGCATGTAATTCACTTGAGAACTAAGATACATGTCAACAATCTTGGTAATTGGACAAATAGGAGGACATTTTGAAAAAAATATTTAATACAGGCACCATACCTTTTAAATGCAGTAATCACGCATGTATCACAGGTGTATTTCCTTACGCATGTAATTCACATGTGAAACGCATGATCACATGTGTGTATCATTCGTATCACATGTGTTTTCCACACATGTGTCACATGCGTGGCATGAAACGTCTCTTTCACATGCGTGTCACACGCATGTGAAACGCATGTGTCACGCATGTACACATGTGTGGCATTTTTGCCAGTGTAGTAAATCCTGGATGATCTTTATCTGATTCCATAAACAGTGTAGCATGTTTTATAGGGTGTTTAATATTCCTCAAATTTTTAATTACGTCAACGGCATTGAGTAAGAACATTATATCTACGTCACTACCTGGTAAATCCAGCCCTTCTGCCAAACTTCCACTTGATATGTGTGTCACATCGGATTCAATAAAATTCAACAGCATGTCCGTTATGATAAGCAGACGTTGTCTTTCATGTATATACATTTCGGTACCAATTGTATAAATTAGTTGCTCGCCTAGGTATTTGTCCATAGAAGCATTTCCAGGCCAAGGCAATTTATCTTTAAAATATGAATGCATTCATTATACTAAACATTGAAATAATATCTGTAAAATCGAAAGTTTTTCCCAAATGTGCATTCCTTAGTGAAATGTGCATAGTTTGCCAATTAATTGATCCATTTTTGTCGAATACTTCGTACCGTCCATTTTTGTCCCGAGTATTAAGGATGCTTAAAAGATTCTTGAATAGTGATCAGTTGCTCAGATACAAAATGATACGTTATATATTATTCGTAAGCTTATGGATAAGTCATTTGACTAAATATGTGATTTTTATTCTGTTATAAGGTACACATATATTGAACATTTACAATTACCTATACTAAAATTATCATTGGTCTTCATTGATCAAAACCTAATTATACGTATTTACAGAGTTATTCTTTTTGGATTATGACGCCTGGTCCAGTCGTATATCAACTTTAATTTATTCAGAAAGCAATCTTTATGTATTGCTGTATTGGTGATGTTTGGATTCGAAATATTTTACTTTATATAGATTTTATTGATTTAAATTATAATGTGTACACAACTTTACCTCGAATGAAATATAAGCAACAGTTGTGCGCCACTGTTTAAATCTCGTTAAACTATTCTTAAAATGCGAATCAAGTTTGAAAAACAAGAGCAGGTACTCGCAAGAACTCAGCATGACCGAAACAGAATGCCATGTTCTTTATGTTACACTACTATTCAAAACCCAATAGAATAAAGTGTTACCACACTCATTGATTTATAAATACCATATTTATACTTTTATTATATCTAAATATCCAAGACCGTAATGTATTTGAATACGATACAAAGACACATCTTACTGTTCGATCGATTCGTGATACAAACTTAAAGTATATGTATTGTTGATTTCAGTAATCTGTCTCATACCAATTATCAAATTAGAGGTTGTTACATGTACATAAACAATTTACTGTATCTTACATAAGGTCGCCCTTCATTGATAGTGGTTACAATTTTCAATGCCGTTCGTTTGCTGTGTAAATCCTTCTTCTTGTTATATCAATTTAAATCTTAATTTATGTCATATCGATTTGGACAACTGATTGTTAGATTACCAGTTATTTTTATTTATGCAGTTATATAAAACAAAAATTGTTCACGAAGTACGCTAATGAACAATCTTGATCGTCAATTAATATCAAAATACGGTTTTAAATTAAATATTGTAATGTCTACTAAACACGCTATCGTAGATACACATTTAAGATATACACATTTGTTTTTTTTTTGTGTATAGTATTACTGATTCAGAACATCCTTAGCGCTGTTCCTCAAATGTTGATAACCGGGGCTGTTCCGCAAATGCTAATAACCGGGTGCAACCTATTGAGCAATATGAACTTTAGTATAGCAGAAACCTTGTCATTACTGTATAACCCTATTTCCGGTATGTTCAGTATTTTCCAATTCTTCGTTTGCTGTGTAGTATTTTGTCATCGTCTTTGTCTCGTTGTTTCTTTTTAGTCATATGGTTGTCTGTTTACCTAAAGGTTATAATGTTCGATTTCAATCTTTTCACTATTTAGACTTTCTTAATTTGCAATTTTAAACACCACACTTACCTTTAGAGTAGTATACGTAATCCTGTAAGTATTCCTGATATTCATTTGAAGATTTGTCAGGATATTTAAGGTTTAATATCCACTGTTCATGAGTCTTTCTTCTTTCTAAGCAATCTTTGACTATTCTTTCAAACTGTCTGATTGTCATCCCGAAAACGTCATTTGATATAACAATCCCTCCGTCTAAAGACTTGGAAATCGATGGTGTGTATCTTCGCCTTCCACGGTAAGGGAAACATTTAACACCGTATTTCTGCAGGTACAAAATTTTTCTCATTTCATTCATTTTTTCTTCTCTAACATCAGCTTGGGTTCCTCGATTTGTGTCCATGATAAATCTATACAATGGATAACTTTAAATATGACTAAAACTATTAAGTAATCTTCGATGTTTAATGTCGCAGTAGTTAGTCTCTAATCTGGGAACTTGGCAAAACTTGCTTATCACAGATTGGCATAGTTGATAACTGTCATCCATGAAAGTTAACTTCTGAAATCATGCATTAATTACTATAACTTATTATTCGGAAAAGAACACATGTAACATAATTTTTAAATGAAACGCTAATCTTGATCTAAACAGCTCTTAACATACATTTGTACTAAACAAAATATAAGTAAGTTATCTTTAGTCCTTCAGTCGATTTTCAGATCTATTCACTAGGGTTAAATTCAGTATTGTTCATACAATTTGGTTGCAGTCGTTCTGTTAGTCTTTTCCGATTTTTTTTTTTTGTAGATGATATCTTCCGTTTCAAATTAGCAGAATGCTGAGTAGTCGGAAAAACTTATAAACGGTACTAAAAAGACTGGAAGCATATGGTCTAAAGTCTAAATAGTACTCAGTCTATTTCAGTGGATAAGTTAGAAAACTGACAAAATGACTGCACATGACTGACCAAATTTTTGTACAGAATTTTTAGTTAAAATTATGATCAACATGACTGTTTCAAAACAAATTTGTCTTAATTGTTGAAATTTGAGGTCAAAGGTAGGCTTTCAAATTAATTGGAACAAACATTTTGACTTTTCTTAAATCGGGGAAGTCATCCATAGATTTCCCTAAACCCTTTTCTTGTTGTGACGTATTAAAAGAAGGAGTAAACACAAAATGGTATTTCCGTTTAAATGAAACCAAACAATACAAGTTTTAGTACGAAGTTAAAGTATTAGTGTGAGCATATTTGTCAGTGTATTGGATATACGAGGTCTGTTTATCATTGCATAACATGAAAAGTGACGATAACTAATAACTGGCAATAACTTGCCAATATAGACAGGGTTGTACAGTTTTTATTTTTACTTATATATAGTTTAGTTTCTTAGACTCGATATTTCAGAGAATTACTCGTATTGCGTTTGCCTGTTGGATATATTTAGTATAAGTAGAGTATCGCTTTATTGAGCTTACGTTATTGATATTTTAATTGAGTTTCTTGGTATAAGTTTCGCTATTAATAACCAAAAAAAATTGTGTCTGGTTTCAATTTCACATTTGATAATTAGTTTTATATCTCTGCTTTATCTAACATTTGACCAACTCTTTCTATGAGTTCTTTTTAATTT